CCTCCTCTCCTTCTCCTCCTCTCCTCCTCCCCTCCTCTCCTCTCCTTCTCCTCCCCCTCCTGTCCTCCTCTCCTCTTCTCCTTCCCCATGAAAACTGGTGATGATGAAGCACACACTAGGATAACGACGATGGAACAGAATGTTACCCGATGGATTAAAATGTAGTAAGGAAAAGGGGCAGTAGTATCTTGAGAGCAAAGACACACTAGCACACTTAAATGTATCTGACCGTAATTGTGGCCCTACTTGGATGTATCGGACTGCTATTACGTCTAGAAAAGTGGGAAAGTCTTAGTGTGAGGATGACCTGAAACAGGCATGAATGCATGCATGCTTTTTTTTTTTTTTTTTAAGGACAAGACAACATCCTAGAGAGCTTCCCCATTGAAATGTTGCTAAGACAGTTATATAACCTCTAGTTAGCAAAACAGTGAATTGCATTGTTGCTGTAGAGCTCAGAGTTTGCAGTGGGCCAGATCATACATGCATGCATGCTTTTGCTTTCAATTTCAGAAATGTGGACTCCTGAATGCTCCTGCGTTTAACATATGCAGTCAGAGTCAGGTGCAGATGGTGCACCTGTCTGCGTTCAATGCACACAGACAGGTATGGATCGGGACATTACCGGAGCTTGTGGCCCTACTACTTGGATGTATCTGACCGCAATTACGTCCAGAAGTAAAAAAATCGTAGTGAAAAACAGGCATGCATGCATGCATGCTTTTGCTTGTCAGTGTCAGAAATGTGGACTTGTGAATGCTCTTGCATTTAACATACGCAGCTGGGTGCGGATCGTTGAGAGGATCTCCCCTTTTCTTTCTGGGCATTATAATGCACTCTTTTGTTTCTTTTCTCTTTTTTCTTTTTCTTAAAAGCTATGTTCTTGCACTCGTTTTAGTATTCACTATTTGTTATATTATGATCCATGAATTGTTTTCTTTTGCAATTTCAGCCACGAAGACACTTAACAGAGGGATGGCAGAGTTTATCGTGATGGCTGCAGACACTGAGCCGCTTGAGATATTGCTGCATCTTCCACTGCTGGCGGAGGACAAAGTGAGTGGGCACAGCAGAAAGACTCTTGACATGTGGTATTATTTATTGTGTGCAAAAGAGGGTTGCTGTGACGTTTAGGGTATTTATTTAACTATATTAGTATCATTCAGTAAAGCCGGGAAGAAGAATTCAGAAAATAAATGCGGAGGGAATCACTGAGGGATTGCAAACTAACGTTTATTGTGTGCAAAAGAGGGTTGCAGTGACGTTTAGGGTATTTAACTATTTATAGTTGTGAGGCGAGTGCAAGGGTAATTGTGAAACAGCTGGGAGCGCAATTAAAACCATCAATTCTGAGATATCGGCGAACTAATCGTGAAGGAATTGGAAAGATAGATGGTCCGCCGCCCATGAATTGTTGCAATACAGACCTCAGTTCGAATCTATTAGATGGAACTTGATGAATGCAAATATTTTTTTTCTGGTAAATGTATTCTGAATTAACGGGGCCAGGTGAGTTCGGCAATGATATGTCAATGTGGTCACCTTTTTTTTTTTTTGAACAAAAAAGAAATTGTAAGGTCTCTCCCCTCCCCCCCCCCCGGCCCCCCCTCTCAAAAAAAGAAAAGAAAAAAGAAAATGAAGACGCTGCGAGGTAACTGAAAAAGTCATTTGAGAAATTGCAAGGATTGGGAGGTGATAAAAAAAAGAACAAAAAAGTGCTTTTGAAGTAATTGACCAAGTGCTTTGGAAGTAATTGCAAAAAGTGGTTTTGACGTCAGTGCCACGCTAATCAGAATGCATATAGGAACGGTCTGGAAATGAATAATAATAATAATATAACTAGGCCGCAGTCACTCTTTCAGTTTAAAATCCATTTCAGGCATCCCTCGAATACAACACATCCCCACCCGACCCTAAGACTAGGTTGTATACATTCACGATTTTCGTCGGGTAGGCAAAACATTTTGGGAAATCGTGACGGAAGCGCATTTTCAATTTGAAAGCGTGACTACTGCGCTCTAGTTTTTCCTAATACGAAAAATGGTAATGTAATTGAAGTTTTTTTTTTTTTTTTTTTTTTTATGTAATTGAAGTTGAACTTTATAGAAGTGATTAAGAAACAGCAGTAAATAAAAACCCTAGAATCGGAAAAGCAAAATATTTGGAGAAAATTTGAGAAATCTCAGGCAGTTGTGGAGTCCAGCCATTCGGACGAGTAAAATTTTCTGTCGTCTGGATTACGACGTGCTTTCCATCTACGCGCATTCAAAACTTGACCGAGTACAATCCGAGCCTTTGTTGGGTTTGACTGTCTTCCTTACTAGCCTAGTAGCTTATCTGACCCTCCATTTTTTGCCAAAATACAAGTGTTGTTTGAACTTGTTTCTCTCTATTCTCTTGGTCATCAAAAACTAATAGGAAGACTCTAAAGGATTGAAGTTGTTTGACTGTAGGCATTCATTTCCAACCCAACCTGCTAACAATCATCTGGCTTCGTTCGTCTTCCGAAGGCGCTGAACCGTGGGTGGGGTACCTCATCTTTTCGTGTACCTAGGTTCAGAGTCCTCGGTTGATGCTCCTCTACCTTTCCCAAATGAGAACAATAGCTTTATCTTCTGTTTTATGGTGTTGATTGCAAGGGCCCACCTTTTGCAAATGAGAACAGTAGCATTATCTTGTGTTTTATGGTGTGTCGGGCGCAAGGGCTCTCGCCTTTTGCGAAAAAGGTGGGAGTCCATGCCTTTTTCGCAAAAGGCGAGAGCCCTTGATGAGTCTGGAAAATACTCTCTGAATCAACTTGTGTTTTTCCAGAGGAGGGGCTTTTGTCTTGGTGTTTGGCGTCGTTGTAATTACTCTGACGTTGGTCCTCATTTTGTTTGTCTGTGTGTGTGTGTGTGTTTGCCTGCACTGTCTGACTTGCTTCGTCCCTCTGGCAGAATGTTCCGTATGTGTTTGTTCCTTCTAAGCAAGCACTCGGGCGTGCGTGTGGTGTGTCGAGGCCTGTGATTTCCTGCTCGGTCACTTCGAATGAAGGAAGTCAGCTCAAGGCGCAGATCACGCAGTTGAAGGTCAGTCCGTACCTCTTATTATTTGTGGCTGGCGTCAAGCCAAAGGATAGGTCCTCCCCTTTTGCAAGGACGGCAAAGAGTCTACACACCTCATTTTGCAGATGACGGTCGTTATGAGATTCGAATGTGTGATACTGCTGGTCAGTAAACTGAGATTCTTGTCGTTTGCTGCTTTCTTTGTCGGTTTCACTACGTAATCAAGGTGTTGAACTGGTCAGGTGAGGTTTCATTTCGTAGTCAGGTGAGGTCGACTTGCCAAAGCGAATGTATAAGGAAAGGGGTAGCTTCGGTAGAGTCACAAAAACGAGTTATAATTGCACTATGGGGCAAGATGCAGTTTGCAATTGCACGTCGGGCACCCTACCCTGGCGAGAAAGTTGGCTTGTATACATTGCCCGAACTGCAATTTGAAACTGTATCTTGGCCCCCGTAGTGCAGTTATAACTCATGTTTGTGACTCTCGCGCGTGGTTTCCCCGTAAGTCAATCTTGTAGATGATGTCTGATGTCGGGGTAGTGTAGATCCAGAGTACCAGTGTACTACCACCGTCTTCCCTTGAACATATACGCACCCTAAAAATGAATGTATACAAGCTATATTTCGGGCCAGATACACCCAAAATAAGGGTGCGTTGTGTTCGGGGGAAGACGGTAGGGCAATCCCAGAGGAACGATTTGGATCATATTTGGTTCTTTCTACCTTACCCGTCAACAAAGTGTTACGTTGGAAGTCGATTCTTTGCTGCAATTGTTTTGCGTGGGAGCCTCTATGGAAAAGGGTGATACGACCGACCTGTGGAATTTCGTCCCGCCGATGCCTTTTTGCAGCTTTTGAAAGTTAATTGTGCTGTTGGCTGTGGCTATTTGTCTTTGCAGGATGCGATTGAGAAGCTGCTGATATGAGATGACAAGGCGTCAGTCGAGGAGGAGGATAACGATTGAGTGGGTTCGCGTGCGCTAAGAGGGAGAGTGAAAAACTGAGTGTATTTCACCGAAAAGCTTTCTGGAGATGAGAGAGATGAATTGAGAGCGGAGAGGCGGCAGTTGGGAAGAAGGATAGTGATCGAGTCGGGAGCTGTGAGGACCGCGTGTGGTAAGAGGATAATGATCGAGTCGATAACGATTGAGTGGGGACCGCGTGCTATGAGGGATGTGAGGGAGAATGGCAATCTGCGTATCTGAGTATATTCCATTGAAAAGCTTTTTGGAGATGGGAGAGGAGAATTGAGAGTGTGGGGTGGGAAGGTAGTCTCATGGTGATGATGGGGTTGAGGATGGAGAGGAGGGGCATTTAATGTTTTGTCATCCCTGTTTTATGTGGGATGCAGTTTTGACCGACTTTCTTCGGGAAACCATCCTAGTCTCTGCGAATGCGGTCATTGAGCAATTTTCTTCGAGGGCATTGGTGGCGGTAGAGATGGGAACGACTGACTGACTTTTTTCTTTTTTCATCTTCCTGCTGGGTCTTTTCAGCTGCTGCGGGGAGTGTTGCAGGGACAGTCGTGAACTACGCGTAGTTGTAGGAAAAAGTAAGTACTAGGTTGTAGTCGTCGAGTTTAGTGAGCATTTGGTGCGGTCGTCAGCTGCTTGCTAGTGGAGTGAAGGCAAAGTCTGTCCATCATGACACTCTGATTCCAGTGGCCGGTCTATTTGATGTCATTCGTCAGAGAGATATGCGCTGGATGGGTGATTGTCAATCGTCAGCGAGAAATGCGCAGAGATCTGAGACCTCTATGTGTCAACATGTGATGTACGAGGGAGCAAGAGAGAGAGAGAGAGAGAGAGAGAGAGAGAGAGAGAGAGAGAGAGAGAGAGAGAGAGAGAGAGAGAGAGAGAGAGAGTTGCAATGATCTGCACTGGTAATGCATGTTGTGTACGGGGTCGAATTTGTTGAATCACGAGGAGTATTTTGCAGGGATCTCTTCTCTTGTCCTCTCTATCCCCAATTTCTCTGTCCAGACTTCTCCCATGTTTGTGCTTGATATGATGTATGTCTCTGTGGCTGTGTGTCGAAAAATTCAAACTTAGTATCGTGGAGTATCCGGTCATTGACCCCCCCTGTGTGCTGTATGCCTATGGTTGGCTATTCACCCCCTTTGGGTTGAAAATTTGAAACTCAGTATCGTGGAGTATCCGGTTGTTGACCCCCCAGTGTGCGATATGTCCATGGTTGGGCATTTACCCCCTTTGTGTATAGAGTTTGAAACTTAGTATTGTGGAGCATCCGGTCATCGACCGCCCGGTGTGAGATGTGCCTATGATTCAACCCATTCGTGTTGAACATTTGAAACTTAGTATTTACTATTTACCCCCTTTGTGTAGTATTCTGGAGTATCCGGTTGTTGACTGCCCCTTGTGCTGTTTGCCTATGGTTGGAGATTCGCACCCTCCTGTCCCTCGTGCGTCTTCTTTATCTTGTGCTTCTGGCTTTCAATGTTTAGCAGTCTTTTGCTTGGTTGGGTTGGGGTTTTTCTGCCTTCATACATGATGTGTGTTTCTTGCTTGTTCTTGTGGAATTTGATTGCGTAGATTCGCCCCCTCCTGTCCCTTGTGTGTCTTCTTTATCTTTTGCTTCTGGCTTGCAATGTTTAGCAGTCTTTTGCTTGGTTGGCTTGTTGTTGTTTTTTTTCTGCCTTCATACATGATGTGTTCTTGCTTGTTCTTGTGGAATTTGATTTCGTATTGAGTGACTTGTGTCTTGCTTGTTCTTGTGGAATTTGAATGGAGAGAAAGAGGAGGTAGTAATATTGAAATATCCAAAAGAGTCTTCACCTACCGTGATGAATTCTACAGCAAGTATACCCATGCACCCCAACTAAGCAGCCAGTATACCCTCGAAGTGGTTACAGTCAGTATACCCATGCACCCCAACTAAGCAGATATAATGCAGATAACCCCCTCGAAGTACAAACATGACCTGATGCAGGTGTATATACATCTAGATTCTGTTTGATGGAGTACAGAAGAACTTGCATGAAGCGGTTAAAGCAAAGCACAATAATCCCGTCGCATAACACAATGATGAAATGCATCGACATTATTCAGCACAGAATTACACCTACTCAAGATTTCTTGCTTGATCCTGCAGCATGACACATTGATGGGATGCATCAACATGATAGGTAACAGTCTCTCCACATCTGCAATAATCGTGTGACGCTTCGCAGCAAGGGACATGAAGTCTGGGTAGCAGCCTCTAGCTGAGTCAAGCCCCCTTAGGCTGCGTTTCATGTCTCCACCATAAGCTGTGGAAATGACATGAAATGGTTGAAGCTTCTGAAAGCGGTTTCAGCTGCCCCCGTCCAAGCAGCTAAGATAAGTGCAAGTAAAACCATTTTCATAAGTTTTGGGCACTTCAGGTCATTTCAGCAGCATTTCGATGCTATGATGGGGGAAACTGAAACCGCATTCAGAAAGGTTCAACTGCTTCAGGTTGTTTCAACTATTTCGGACTGATGTTGATGCATGGATAGCAATTAAAAAGAAATTGAAAACATTTGGGAAATTTCTTAAGGATTAAAATGACTTCCAAAAAAAAAAAAACGAATACCCAGTTTTTAGAGGACCCTCACGTATGAAAATCCCACATTGAGAAGTAAAAGGTATGAAAATCCCACATTGAGAAGTAAAAGTCACCCGAAAAAAACACACTTTTCAAAGATGACGTGCACTTTCATTTGTTTCAGATCTGAATAGTCGGGGACCCGTTGACCACTAGTGCGAAGCTGGGTAGTGACCCTCACAGTTCTGTTAAGGGACGCCGGCCCCAGTTTCTAGCAGGTGGCGTTCCCTCAAATAGGCCAGAGCCTTCCGTTGGGGTGCCATTTTGGATTGCTTTCACCAACAAAGGTAGCACCGCCAGCAGAGAGTTCAAAAAAAAAAAAAGAGTAGAATGCAATTCAATGCATACACTGTCAATGCGATTGCAAACGGAAGGAAATAAATTTAGGAGAAAGCATACGCTTTCTATTGGAATGCAACGAGTTTGCTCTTTTTGTGAAATGACCTTTCATTTAGAAAAATGGGCCAACTTCTCAACAATAGATTTTTTGCGAGATTCAAATAGAGCGCATAGTGGGAGTGGACCCCTCTATCCTAGAGGGGGAAGTCCCACTTGTTTGGATTCTTCATTTCCAGCCCTGGATCCACGACCAGGAAGCAGGAATCCTGGCCAGAGAGGAGGACTTGGGAAGATTCAACACAGGAAAGTTTTTGGCAGGTCTCCAACAGGTTTGACCGACAGAAGGTTGCCTAGCGTCATCCCCGGACACAACACAATGCACCCTGATAACGAATGTATATACAACTTGAAACTTCGTGTCCGGGGGAAGTCTGGTATTGGGGGGGGAGGTTGGACCAATACTCAAGCGGTGAAGGGGCTCGTTAGACACTCCTTGGGTGTGTAAAGTCGCCGAGGAAATTATCGTTACACCTATCCTCGGGGATAAAAATAAAAAATAAAAAGTGAAGACATTTTCTCGGGAAATCCTTGGGGCTTCCTTGGGCTACAACCATTTTGTGGCCTTCCCCAACGTACCTTTGGAGGTCCCTTGGAGGTCAAGGATCTGTGATAATCGGAGCAGCGAGGGCACCCATCGTCGGCAACCAATCTTCGTTGACTGGTCCATTGGAGTACCTATCGGCCACCGCACATACATCTTGGGTCGTCAGCGTTTGGCTTCCAGGATCCTTATGCCAACGGTAACCATTGGTGGCTGGACGGCCTCCGCAAACATCTTCAACCAGCGTTTTCCCTCGTAGTTGGTGCCGCCAAACAGAATGGGTTTAACGGTTGGCAACATTGAATATTTTAGCTGACCTGCCTTTCGATTCCCCACTGTACTCGGTGACGTAAAATGTTAGAGGGCATTCGTCGGATGCTGCGGTCTGTCGTCGCTTCCCTCTTCGTCACCGTTTGGTGGAGGTGTACCGGCGTCGTGTAGTTGCTGCCCTTCCCTGTGTCGTTCATCACGGACGTCTTTCGAAGGCTGCTGCTGCTGCTCTTTGTAATCATTTTGTTTGTTCTTCTAATCGTCTTCCACTGGCACGTCTGCATCCTCGACATGCTGTCTGGATGCACACACAAGAGGCGTTCTGCGAAGAAGGGCGTCATCATGAATGAACGGCGGGCGAAGAGCAGGTCTTAAGTGGACCACCCCACCAGCCACCACGCAGGCCACGTCCAGACTCACATTGCAAGGGCATACGACCCGTTAAAGTGCGTGTGCCGTATGCTATCCTCTACCGTTTGCTCTCTTCATCGTCGCCGTTTGGTGGACCTCCACCGTCGTTGTGGAGTTACGTCCTGTCATACGTGTCGTTGATGGCCGACTTCTATTGAAGGCTGCCACTGCTGCTCCTAGTTGTGATGTTGCTTCTCGTGGTCCTCCTGTTCCACGTGTGCATCCTCTATCGTTGATGGCCGACCTCTATCGAAGGCCTCCAGCGGAGAAGACAAGCGATCGACACCAATTGCAGTCGACACCAGCATTGGCAGCGCGTCCCACATGTTTAGCGCAACACACTTCAATAGGTGGAACGAGCACAATGCTGCACCATCTTCTTCGGTCCCTCAACATGCTCGTCCAAAATCAACAGGAAATGCGTGCTCACACACAACAAAAGAACAAACAGAACGTCCTTTGGGACATCCGTTAAAATTGGAACGATAGAGAGAAGCTGCATTGCATGGCGTACACGTATGTGGGGTCCGTGGACGTGCATGTGCATATGCGTATGCCGCGGATGTGTACGCGCGTACTCAGAAATGGGGCCCGCGTACGTGGTCGTCCCCATTTCTGTCGCCGATGTGGGGGCGGCTTTGGGCGTGGTACCAAGTGGGGGGACTTCAGGAGACTGGGGGAGGTCAGGGGGCACCGGGAGGAAGGGGTCCGGTCGGGGGGTGCACTGTCCCCCTGCGATTTCGGAATTCGGGGCCTGGTGTAACGCGGGGAAGGGGTCCAGGTGGGTTCGGGGCCTGGGGTAATGCGGGGAAGGGGTCCAGGTGGGGGTGCACCGTCATCGCCCGAGGAGGAGGAGTTGCCATCGCTCTAGGAGGATATGAGCATCCCCAATAAGTGGGTTCCCATGTTGAAGGCTCTATCTATTGGTGGGGAGCTGCACCTGTTGGAAACCAGGTCCAGCGTCCCTGTACAATGTTCAATTGTGGCAAGTATGTATGATGTTTGTCCGTTTTTGTATATCTGCTATGCATCCTGTCTGTAGCAGTCCCTATTTGCATATCCCAGCTATGGGCAGGAGTGCAGGGCCTGGAGTGGTGTGTAGTGTTGCAGGTTTGTTTGTAATGTGTTGTGCGAGTGTTGTGTGCAGTGGTGTGTGATGGGCTCGTCGTGCGTGTGTAGCGTTGTGATCTTGTTTTCTGAAGTGTTGTCCAAGTGTAGACCATGCTTTTGCATGTTGATGTGAGATTGTGAAGTACTGTCCGGGTGCCAGCGTGGGCTGTGGGCTGTGGGCTGTAAGTTTTGGTCGATCATCTGTGATGTGAGGTTGGGTTGCATCTGAGTGGTGCGATGGAAGAGAGTGTGCGGGATCCGTAGTAAGGTTTCCTCTGTGTTCTTCATACGCAAATCCTTAACCCCAGAGTGCTCCTCCCTTTTCCCCTCCCCTACCGAAGATGTTCCAGACTATCCTTGCGGGTTATCTCCATTGTCCTTCTTGCCTGTGTATCCCCCCCACCGATTAAACCTCTGTTCTATCTTGTGTTGAACCCTTTCGTGGCCCTGTGTGGGCTATTTGCCCCCAGTTCATAACGAGCAGGAGGCTGTCCTTGGCCGGCTGCTGGGTAACGGGGAGGGAAGAGGTGGAGGAAGGAGGGAGGGAGGAAGAGGGGTGAAGGAGAGTAGCACTGGCCAGGGGGGTCATGGGGGCCCCCGGGGAGGGGCATAGATGTGGGCCTGGGGTA